GACTGCTCAAAGCAGCCCCAGCCTGGGGGCAGTCCCTCAGCTGTAAGAAGGACAAATACACTGTGGCCCACTCATATGGGGACTGCTGCACAGCAATGAGAACAAATGTCACCTACATGCAACAACACGGCTGAGTCTCACTCCCACAGGTTGGCCACAAGCTAGACCCAAAAGAACGCACACTGAGTACATTTCACATAAAGTGTACATAGGTCTTCCTTTGTCAGGGAAAAATAATCTCTGGTGTCAGGCGGGCGTGTTTGCCTGGGGGAGGGAGACACGGGATGAGGTTGGGAAGGCACAGAAGAGCTGGGGTTCTGCTGCTCATCCGTGTCTTATCCACGTACTTGTCACGCGGGTGTTTGCAAATGGAGACAATCCACTGAGCTGGATGCTTAACAGCTGCACACTTTTCTGCACTTATATGTTAATAAAAATCACTTTAAAAGTTGAAGCTATCGTTATTTTTAAGTGCACTTTTATGTATGAGGACAACTAAAAAGTCTGAAACCATTTTCTCTGTGTAGGAAGTGTAAGCAAATGACTTCATGGGGAGGCAGGAGGCGGGCACATGCCCCCGATGGCCATGTTTAAGCTCTCCATGGCATCCCAGGCCTCCCCAGTACGCTGCCAGGGGCAGGTCCGCCAGTGTCACCACCCCGTCATCTGCTCTGACGGCCTCTGGTATCCTAGCCCTGGGACAGGGCCACTTCTCAGAGGTACTGCACTTGCAGGGAGACGGCTGGAAGACAGGCGGAGGGAGCAGGGAGCACGCGAAAATCCTTACGAACCTTCTGCCTGTGTTTTTAAAACCAAGATTATACTTCTGTTCCGTCTGGTGGTAAACGAGGTAAATTGATGGATTAAGCAGATATTTTCTCTGCTGTTAAACTGCATTCTACTGATCTGCTCAGGGCCGTGGGCAATTCAAGTCTGCAAGTAAGTCTCATTCATGCGTCACCTTTGTTTATGAACAAGGCAGCTGTGTTAGCCTTCTGCCCCGTGCATCAGGAGCTATTGTTTTATCACAAGCATTGTGGGAAAGGCGAAAGGGGAGGGACGTGGACGACCAAACAAAACAGAAATTGGACGGACACATTAGTTACTCAGAAGTATTACTGAAATATCGGGGACAGTCATTCTCGAGGAGGTTGAGGACTGAATGGATCAATGGCTGGTGGCAGCCGTGTTCGTTCTGAGAGATGGCAGGTGTTAGAACAATGAGGAGTGACCTCCTCTGCACCTGGCTCACAAAAGCTGCCTCTGTGTTTGTGGCGGAAAAAAATAGGATAACAACAATAATAAAAAACATCCTGCCTCTGGCTAGTTCCTTTTTATTTTTTTCTCACACTGGGCAGTTTTATTTATAGATAATAAGGCTGCTTTTGAGACACACACACACACACACACACACTTCCCAGTGGAAGTGATGTTTATTTGACGTAAAATAGCTGGGGCGTTTATAGAATCTGTTTTCTTTGGAATTCCATCCAGAATGTGATGTGCGGATTGCTCATATCCCTTTTAAATCAGTTTACTAGCACATTTTCCACCAAATCTGTCAAATTAGACTTGTTTCCCGGCAACATGTCCTCACTGTGCTGCTATAGCAGCCTGGAGAGACGCCAGGTTGTGTGGCTGCGCTGGGCACCGCCCGGACACGGCGCTGTCAGCTGCGGGCGGCGGCGGCGGCAAGCAGCTATCCGTGTTGTGAGCGCTCAGCTGCGCGCCCTAAGAGGACATCTGGGATATCTCCCCGGGTTTCTCTGAACCCCCCAAACTAGGAATTCTCACTGAGATGTGGGTTTTGAGCAGACCCCAAAGCAACCCCTGCAGCTGAGGAGCCAGGGGCCACGCCATAGCATGGAGTTCTAATTTGTGCCAAGTGCACGCCACGTCCCCTGCAGCTGTCTGGCAGTCCCAGTAAGCCGCGGTGGGGTCACGGCGTCACTTCTCAGAGCCTAGTACTCACACTTGGATGACCTTGCTGCGGCCTCATGACAGGCTCTGTAAACTCATCTTTGGAAGACTCCACTCCTGACCGTGAATTCCAGGAGGAACACGAGAAAACTGCCAATGATGCCTAAGCACCGAGTTTTCAGAAGAACATTTCAGGAACTAAATCTCCCGAATACTAAATACACAGGGGTCATCCCCCCCAGGGTTCTAGCACACGGCGATCTGGAAACCAGCCAAGGAGCCACCCCACACTTTGAGTGACAAGCAGGCGTTTCTCATTGTGTAGAAATGGACTTAGTTGCAGAAATGTCACCTGAGCTTCTTCAAGTCACACTGTCAGGAAATGGCAGGGTTGGGACCGACAGTTCCAAGGGCCCACAAGTCCATCCATCCTAATAACGCACCCAGCTGTTTTCAAATGAACCATGGGCGTACGTACTTTGCCTGATTACCATGTAGCATAGCTTCTCGTGTCCGTACGATCATCCAGCATCTAAGACAGCTCCCAGAGATGCAAAGGCCATCAGAGATTGATGATGTCACTGAGCCCCTGAAACAATCAGCTGCGGAACACTTACCTCTCTTCTCGTTGTTAAGGGAGATTGTAAACCCTCCTACTGTCTAAGCCCTTGGACACTGGGTTTCCTATCACTCACATTTGAAAACGTGTCAATTTAAACATGAGCACTGTAAATCCCAAGGGCTTTTGTACTTAGGGACATTAATTTCAGTGAGTAGAAATATCTTGGGTCACATTTTCCCCCCAAAACTTCATAAATATCACTTCTTTTTCAACTGACACTGGAAGCTATTGTGGGGATATCGTACCATTTCTCCCTGAAGTTCAATAAAATCTTTGGTATCAGTTGTTTCAGTTTTTCTTGGAACAGAATGAGAACTTAGAATCTGCAGATTTAGGTTCTTTTATTTCAGAAATGTTTCCTTAAACCTTTGAAAGAAAATTAATATTAGGAGTCTCTCTTTCAGGAATATCAACTCACCTTTATCTAATGGCTGGAAGGCCTCAGACTTTTTCCTCTATGTTCTTTGTAATTGATTCAAGCTCTTCCTCTGAAGTCAGTAATTCAGACAGATTGCACCGTCTATTTCTTGGTTTCTCTACTTTAGTTTCTGTATTTGGACTATTTTTCATTTTCATCTGGTTTCTTTATATGATCTTCCTTCCCTTCTCACTATGTTGTTTTATCTTCTCTCCCAGCTCTTATTCTATTGTTTTTTCATTAACGTATTCTATTACATGGAACACACGTGAAAGTTTTCTTCTATTTGGTTATGTCTTCTTTCAGACTAGGTTCTTCGCCTGTCTCACCCATGCCATTATCCTAATTTTTCCCCTTTTATTGAAGTCCTGGATTTGAATACTGAATATGCTGCTTTTCTCTTATTAATGTTTGACACGGGTCACTCTTAGCAAATTTTCTGTTTGTTCAAATGTAATGTGAATGAGTTCTCCTTGCATCTGAATGACGTTGTGAGCTGGGGGATTGCATTTCTATCTACATTTCGTCTTATACACAGTGAGGGTGAGAACTGTCTCACTGCATCTACGCCAGGTCTGAGCTCTGCCTTCTCTCCTGAAATTTTGGTAAATCCTTTGCCACTGTCCCCTTACCCTTGTTAGGAGTGTATCCTATTTGTTTAACAAAATGCCCTACAACTTTGATTCTTTGCCTCCATAAAGTGCAAGGCCTTAGTGATTTTTCCTAGCTCCGATCAGGTCCTGCAGGAGGTAGGGGTTGGTCCCCACTCGTGATGGTGTTATTTCCCCGGGATTTTCCCAGGTGGCTTGTTTATTCTCCTCTACACTAATTTCTGGCTTACTCTATTCCCCTCACTTCTTAGATTCGTGTCTTCCTTGTATCAGAACGATGAGTGAGAATCCTCGGTATCCTGTCTACAGGTTTCTCTCTCCTGCGGGGATTTGCTAGGCGGTGGGGGTAAAATAGACACCATTCTGCAATGCAGTTACAATTTCTGAAGTCGATGGCATGAAAGGGTCCTCAATTGTTTCTGTTAGGTCGCTCCTTTATTTTTCGTTGGTGTTCACTCTTCTGTTGTCGCATTAGTATTTGGGGGAGAGGGGCTCTGGGAGGCGGATGCCACCATTTCCACGTGGATGTCCTCACCATGCTCTGGGTGCATGAGTTCTGAGTGTGCTCCTGTGCGAATTGCTGAGTATAAAATGTGCAAATAAATCTCAGCAGTTACCAAACATGAAGGAAGAAGAGCACAGAAAACCATGGGAGCGACTGCGGAATCACCAACACCCACATGGCATTTACATCTACGACACACCGGCGCCTCCATTTGCATTAAGCCCCAGAAGGGCACCGTCTGCATCCGTTCTGTATCCCCAGCCTAAGTCTGCTCTTGGCCCAGGAACAGGTGAAGGAAGTTACCCCACTTTACAGGTGGGGAGGCTGGGGCCACAGTCGTTCGAGGGAGGCCTTGTCCAGGGCTACATATTTGAAGACGGATGAGAACGAGGCAAACGGGACGACGAGCAGGTGGAGGGGACCCGGGGCCAGTCCGCGGGGCTCCCGCCGGGCGAGTCCTCCGGAGGCGGGCTCCCCCGTCCGGCTCCAGCGAGGCTGGGGCACCACCAGCTGCTCCTGCTCCGCCAGCACCAGCCGCGGCTGCTCCGCGTCCGCCGCGGTTGCCACGGAAACAGCAGCCGGCGGCGCAGGCGCGTAGCGCGCAGGGGGCGGGGAGCGCGCTCGGCCGGAGAGGAACGGCATTGCGCAGGCGTAGCGCTTCCGTTGCTAGGCTCCCGCTAGCGTCCAGATCAGTGGCCGCGGCGAAGTTCCAGAGCCTCGGGGTGGCGACGGATCGATCCGACGCCCTCTCTGTGCTTGCCAGGCCCTGGCTGTCGCCTCGCCTTGCCTGAAGCGCGAGGATACCCCAGACCCCTGCCCTCCCCCCGGAAGGACCGCCCCCGAGGCCTCTGGTCCTGACCCCTGCAGCCAGCCCGGCCTTTTGGGCTTCCTGGCGGGCAAGGGAAAGAGGGAAAGTAGCCAGCCATGTCCAGCGCGTAAGTGAGGGGCCGTGGCCGAGGGGGGCTTCTCCAGCCAGAAGGTGGCTTGCGCTTCTTTGCCTTTTTCTTCTCTTTTCTGCCCCACCCCCTTCTTTTTATATGTTAGCAAATAAGGATATTAGGCTGAAGGATCAGCTTCCTGTGGGCAAGGAATGTCATACACTTAGATCTACCGCCCTCCCTCGCACTACCCCCTCCCGCTGCCCAGAAGGTGACCTCCAGGCCCCGCTGGTGTATTTGGGGGGAAGCAGAGCCTTCAGAATTTCAGTACGTTGCCTGCTTTTTTGTGAGTATTTCAAAGTAACATACGGTTGCTTTGGGAACGCACCCAGGCCCCGCTATTAAGTCAGAAGAGACCTCGAGGAAGCTTTATTGTGCCCTCGGCCTTCCGCAAGGACACCAGTCAGGTGGCAGTGAAGGGCAGGGGCTCCCACCTGCTCCGCAGCCGTGTCATTGGCCTTCACTGTGGTCACTTCAAACATGCCGGACAGTGCCGGCCCTGGGCGCTGGTCTGAGTGCCCGCATAGGATAACGTTCAGTCTTCACCACACCCCTGTGAGGCAGGAGCTGCTAGTGCTCTGCCCATTTTACAGATGAAGACACTTAAGCACAAGGAGGCTAAACGGTCAAACACAGAAAGTAGGCAGTGCCAACCCAGGCCCAGTAGCTCCAGCCTGTCCCGTTACTAACCCTGTTTTCCAGGCAAAGACATGGGGGCAGAGAGGTTGAGGGCTTGCCGAGGTTTGCAGGTGGGGAGGGTCGGGAGCTCAGTGTCCGACGTGTTGAGTTGGACGTCAAGTGGAGATCAAGTCTCGAGCTGGGGAGAGAGGTCTGTGTGTGAAATATAAATCGACAGCTGCTGTGTGTGGGTGGTCTTTATGAGGCATGGCCAAGTGCAGACGGGACAGGGGAGGGCTCCAAGGACTGAGCCTGGGCCCCGCTGATGGTAAGAGGTTGGGGACAAAAGGGGAGACTAACAAAGGGATCAAAGGCATGATGGGCGAGGAAGAAGCAAGATTGTGGTGCCCCGGAAGCCAGGTGGGGAAAATGTCTCGGAAGGAGGGGTAGCAGGCTCCCAAATGCTGCTGACACAAGTCAGAGGAGAGCTGGGACCTCGCCTTCGCTTGGGCAGTGTGCAGCGCAGCGGTGACCTTGACCTCCAGGGAACGACGGACCAGAAGGGCTGAGTGCAGGAGAGAAACGGAGAGAAACTGGAGACAGCGCACACTGCTGACTCTTTAAAGGAGTTTTACTGGAGCTGGTGGCAGGGAAATGAGACCCGGAGACAGACTTTTTTTTTTTTAGATTTGTTTTTTTTAAGATAAGAAACAATAGCCTATTTGTTTGTAGGAGGGAATGGCCCAGTGGTCAAGGAAACAGGATGCTGCGGGGGGGAGGAGGGAGCAGAAGGCACAGGACCCAGCTCCAGCCGTGGCCTCAGACCGAGGAACATCTATCATAGGTCGGGTGCAAGGGCAGAGTCTCTGTAATCATGCAGTTTGGTGGGTGGTGTCCTGGCGAGGGCCTGGAAGGCGGTGTGCATGGGGACCATGGAGACCCAGAGAGGCAGTGGCAATGCCTTCCGGTGAAGTGAGGTTCAGAGCTAGGGAGTGTTGGCGGGCAGTGAGCAGGAATGGTCTGCAAGGGGCAGTAAGGAGCAAGGAAGGCCCTTGACCCAGATCCTCGCCGGTAGGAGAGGGAGGTTCCTGAGAGGGCCACTGTGTGCTTAAGGGACGGCCACTGTGTGCTTAGGGGACGGCCGGGCCTCCCACTGAACAGAAGCACTGCGGGAACACTCCGGAAAGAGGACGAACAACTAGATAATATTGGAAGAACTGAAGTCCATCATGTGTACTGTGACTCGGTGAGAATTCTGATTTTGCAGCATTTAGATTTTCTACTGGAGTACGTGGTGTGTCTGAATATTCGTGCCTCCCCTCCGCCCCCACTTGGAGTTTGGGAAAACTGCCGGCTACAGGTCTTACAATCTGGTCTTTTTCAACTGTCATGTTCCGTCTTCTCCACCCACAAGCCTCCTGACTTCAGTATCTGTAACATTTCTAGGTCATGTGCTCAAGTCTGAAACCAATCATGTACTTAAAAAAAGTCTAAGTGGTCTCGGGGATAAAATAGTGCCTTCTCTTCACTCGGCGAGTTTAAGCTTTCCAGAGCGCCCCCACATCTGTTACCCCGTGCCGCCGAGGTCCTCGGGGGTGCCCAGGACAGGCGGCCGTGTCCAGCATGAGGAGGTCAAGGCACGGGCGGGTGAGTGACCTGCCGGAGACCGACAGTTCAGAGAGCAGGTTCCAGCTTGCAGCTTGGACACTTTTACCTGTAAAGCCACCTGGCCGTCCCCAGGGGACGTAAAAGCAGGTGTTCACACAGAAACCGCACGGGCGTGCTCACGGCAGCGTCAGTCCAATAGCCAGCGGGCAGACGCGCCCACGCCCCCAGCACCTGACGAAGGATACACAAAGGTGGTGTGCACCTGCCGTGGGACGTGGGTCCGCAGCACACAGGGACGAGGCACTGACCCACGCCCCACACGGACGAACTCTGAGCGCGGTGAGCTGAGGCGGAGGAGCCGGTCACAGAGGACCCCCCGCCGTACGATTCCACTTCAGTGCAGTGTCCAGAGCAGACCAACAGAGACGTAGATGCGCGATTGCAGGGGCCAGGGGAGGGGCTGGGCCAACAGGGAGTGGCTGCTGAGTCGCAGGGTTTCTTTGCGGCGGGGGTGGGGGGTGGGGGAGGAGAAACTGTCCTGAAATCAGATCAACCTGATAGTTGCCCAGCTCCAGGAATGTACTAAAAACCACTGACTTCCAACGGGTGAATCATAGTATGTGAAGGATAGCCCAATAATGTTCTTAGTACAAAGTCATCTCACCACATCCCTTATCCGATGTCATCTTTATGGGCACCCCCTCAAGGACGCTGCGACCTCGGGGCAGCAAGGTCGGTTGGGGCTCAAGCCAGAGTGGGGTTTCAAGGGAAGTGGGGGCTCCATGGGTGGGCCTGGCTGAGGCCCAGTGTCCAGGCCCCTGGCAGACCAGGGAATGGGGGGATCGTGGCCAGTGGACATGCACGGAAGGCACTGAAGCCAAAGTCGGTCTCCAGGGCCAGGGGTATGATGCAGGAGCGGGCTCCGGCCTGCTTTGTAAGACAGCAGGTAGGAGAGGCTGCGGCCCCCGTGGCAGCACCTGGGAGGCTCGAGCCGCCAGGCCTGTCTTTGGCCAAAAGTCCCACGGAGGGGTCAGCTCTGCATGGCCCTGGGGGGCTCTGCTGCTCTGACCCCGGGGGAATTTGGGCAGCACAGGGCCTGGCTGGGTCTGCTCCGAGGGAAGCCCAGGCGTTCTTAAATTCTAGGCATGTTCCGGTCCTTTCCTGTGGCTGTCCTGCCCCTGGTGGGAGCCTCCTTTACCAGGGTCCCTGGCTGTCGATGGGATTGGGGCTCTGCGGGGTTCAGTCACCCGCCCGCTCCCTCTGCGGGGCGCACCCCTAGCCATTGCGCGACCCAGATGCTTACGGCTGTTAAACACTTTGAAGTCTGATAAGAGGCCCTTGTCTTCTTTACCGACCCCACCCCCACACGTGGAGACTGTGACTAAGGTTATCCACGCGCCTGCAGGGTACCGGCACCGAATCTCGGTGGTCCTGACGTCTGCACGTCCGTCCGTCCGTCTCAGGAGTCCGCTTTCTTTCCGTCTCCGCGCTCCGTGCGGGAGCAGACACTGCCTTCTGCCTCGTCTGAACCCTGCAGGGAGCGGTCTAGAATTTTCCTCAGCTCTGCCGTGGGTTTTCCACATCTTGCCCCTTGGCTGGACTCACTGACTTCTTACGTTTCGTTTCTGATTTCCGTGGATTTTGCGGTGGTGTCGGGTACAGGCGGTTTTTAAACGGTTTCCGTCCCCCTCTCAGGCCTGCCTTCTCCATCCGCTTCTCGTGTGCCGGGTGTGTTGCCGCGTGTCGCCGCGTGTCTCGGCTGCAATCGTCGGGTCTCTGGGTTTCGGCCTTTGGTGAGGCCGCCGTGCTCGCGTCTTTGGAGTGACAGTGACTCCACCAGGCGTGCACAGTGCACCGTGCCGAGCATCGGGGTGTCTGTGGGCACCACCCCCGGATCTCCCTGTCCTCCAGCTCTGTGCGGAGCCCCCCGAACTCCTGAGAGGACCCCCTGCTTTACCACAGGGAATCCTTCCTTTCATCTGGCACCCTGTTCCGTTTGCCAAGTGGAATTTCAGATCCAAGTTTAAACAAAATTAGCCTGTGATTTTCTTCTGTCGTGTTGTCCTGACGGATTCAGGCCCTTGGCCTCAGCGAGTCCCCAGGATGAGCGGGGGTGGTTTTCTGCTTTCTGTGGCCCCGGGGTCCCGAGCGCCTCGGCCCGCCGCGCCTCGGGCTTCTCCGGACCCCACACGATTCTAGGTTCTCCAGGCAGACGTTAGATCAGCCTCTGTTTATTCTGACCCCTGGTGCGTCCGGCCCTGCTGGTCTCTGCTTCCTCCTCTCCCCTGCGGGTTGCGTGTCCTTTCTGAGGGGCGACAAGCAGTGTCCCCGCAAGGTCCCCGATGCTTGGAACAGGCGACGTTGCCGCGTGATTACTGTCCTCGTACGGGATTGTTCCAGCCACAGCCCTGGTTTCGGGTCATTTGTTTTGCGCCGAGGGACACGTCCTGGGCTGAAGGAGAATCTCACCTTCTGACAATCAGGTTCTCTTTTATGACAGCTGGGCTGGCAGGGTGCTCTCCCACTGCAAAAATATATGTATGTGGTTGTTCTTTTAAATCCTCGCCTGAGGATATTTTTCCATTTATTTTCAGAGTAGGAGAGACAGAGAGAGAGAGAGAGAGAGAGAGAGAGAGAGAGAGAGAGAGAGAGAGACACTGATGTAAGAGAAACACAGCGATTGGTTGCCTCCCGCACGACCCTGACCGGAGCTGGGGACTGAACCGCAACCCAGGTGTGTGCCCTTGACCAGAATCAAACCCACGACTTTGGTCCACAAGCCGACGCTCCAGCCGCGGAGCCAAACCGGCCAGGGCACACTGCAGTATTTTTAAACATATTGCGAAGTTTGGAGAAATCGGCCACCTGGGCCGGTGGATGGGGCGCCAGGGGCCATATTCAGTGCCCAGACTCCCTCGGGCGGGGCCGGCAGGGGCGGGACAGGGTGGTGTTTGGGGCTCTGAGCCTTGGTGTCCTCCTGTTGTTGTCACATCTGGGCCATGTGATGCGTTTCCTCCCCCATCGTCTTGGTAAAATCACAGCTGTGCGTCAGGTGGTTGCGGCGGCTCTGTAATCTCTGGTAGAGGGGGTTCAACGCGGGATACAGTCTGAGCTAAAACCACGCGGACCGGGGGTCAGACACTGGCCCCGACAGGCAGGAGCAAGTCGTGTCCTCCCCTGACCTCGGGGTGACTGATAGGAGCCCCTTTGGTGGCCTGTCGCCAGGACCACCTGCAGGACAGAGGTGGCCACTGCTCGGGGTTCAGTTAGTGGAAAGCAGGGGCGTGGGGGGGTCAGGCCGTGGGCCGAGCAGACAGGTAGAGGGTGCCCCAATGACCTTGGGAAGGTGGGGGGCTCCCAGTGTAATGAAGTGGATTGAATGAGTATGTTTATCTCCACCTCCTCCTGAATCACCTCCAAAATGGCAATAAAGGACTTAAAAGGCAATAAACGCATGAGAGCCCAGAGGACATTGGAGCATTTGACAAGGGATGTCACAGAAGTGTAGGGGGAGGGGGAGGAGGCCCCATGAGAAGGAGGAGGCAGGGCAGAGACCGTGACCTGGGGCCCGCCGAGCGCGAGGTGACCGGTCTGGGCAGAGCCCTGGGAAGAGGCAGGGAAGGTCTGTCCTTCCCAGCTGGGCTGCACAGGTGGGGACCGGCTGTAGGTCAGTGTGAGGGACTCTGGGCCCGAGCAGGCGCTGAGCTGCCCGTCCAGGCGGAGGAGGTGCGTGCGGGCAGCGGGGCCCCGGGGAGCGTGAGGCAGCTGAGGGTGAAGAGGAGCGAGAGCCCTGGGCCTGGACCCACACTCTGCCGCAGGAAGACACCCAGACAAACATGGACCTTGTCGGGCCCCCTCATCGCCGGGAAGAGGCCAGGGTCCTGCCCCCACCCCTGGGGAAGCCCACTGGTTGGTAAGCCCCTTTCCAGACACATGGACGTCAGTGCTTCCAGTCCTGCTTCCTAGACATTGTAAAAGAGCCAAAATCACCCAGTTTTTATAAAAAGTCTCTGCCAGGAACGGCAGAGTCCGGCAGGGCTCAGTCCGCAGGGGGGACCAATAAAGGGACGGGTGAGCCGGTCCAGGGAAACCAGCCAGGGATGGTGGGTGTCCTGAGGCCGGCAACGCTGGACCGGCACCACCCGAGCCTTCGGTGGACGGAGCCGGACCGGCACCACCCGAGCCTTCGGTGGACGGAGGCTCCGACCCAGTGTTGGCTCTCCAGGCCTCCATCTCACCCCCACCTGCTTCCTGCCCGCCCCCACTGTCTCAACCAGCTGGGCGCTGGGGCCAGGGAGCCCGCAGGCGCCGTCCACAGGGCCGAGCCAGTCTGCGCGGCTCTCGCTGTCCTCAGGTCTGTAGGCTGCCGGCGCTCACCCCTGTGACCCCCTCGTGCCCACTGCCGTGGAGTCGTCCGCTGGTGATACCCTGCGGCTCATTTGCCCCTTCCCCTGCCCGTGGGCGCTGGGCATCTCCAGGTGTTCGCTGTCATAACGAAATGTTACTGTGGCCATGCTTTTTTCTTTTCTCATTCAATTTTAAAATAATTTTAACACAGATTCAATATGCTGTGATCTATGAAAATGAATCGCTTTAGTAGACTTAACATTTACTCTTAAATAGTATAACATAGCTCTTTATCTTTTGAAGTGTCTTTCAGATTTTTTTTGCATGTTTTTATGTTTAGTTCAAAAAATATGTCTTAGTGGTCCTTTGATTGGTTTTTTTGTTTTTTGTTTTTTACTTTATCTTTGTTGTTGAAAGTATTACAGTGCCCCTTCTTTTTACTCCCCATTGACTTGACTGTGGTCATTCTTGATGCAGATTTGGGGTGCCATTGTTCCCTCGTAGGGCGTGCCCGTGGCCGGCTTTCCAAGGCCTCCCCGAATCACTTTCCAAAGCCGCCGATCCAGTCCATGCTCCGCGTGCCCCGTATACCGACAGTCAGTTACCGGGCCTGGGTGTCTGCGTCAACGCCCGCGTTACGGGTGTGGCGGTTGGGCGAAACGCGTTCCGTTTGATGGTGAGAATAGCAGTGGTCACCTGCACAAGTCGCAGGCGTGTGCGAACAGGACACACGTCGTCTAGAGGCGTGTGTGTCCTCAGCTCTCGCGTGGCGCTGTCACACTTTGCTGTCTCGTTGTCTCATCGGAGCTCTGTCTTTCCTCAGCATGTACAACAAGATGTGGCACCAGACCCAAGACGCCCTCAATTCTTTGCTTGATAAAGAGTCTCAACGGATGAAAGAACCACAGAGAAATCAAGTCTTGATCTTCCAGATGTTAGCCACCTTCTACATCAAGTACGTGCAGATCTTCCGGAGCCTGGAGACGGTCTACGACCAGATGGTCCACCCGCAGAAGCGCGCACTGATCCGGAGAATCCTGGACGGGGTGATGGGCCGCATCCTGGAGCTGAAGAACGAGATGGTGGAGTTGGAATTAACCGAGTTTCATTACTTTGATGACATCTTACAGAACCTAAAGCTGGCTCCCGTAAGTACTCAGTTTTCTTTCCTGGTTGGTCTGTTTTCATTTTAAATAAGATGCGCAGGCCTGTCACCTGTGTCCTCCGGGCCGTCCAGGCATATCTGTGCCCTGCTGGTTGTGCAGGCCGCGGACACGGCCTGACTTTCCCCGCTTTGCGTCACCAGTGAGTCTGCGTCGCTGGGTCTGTTGACACTGAGGCTGGGGTAGCCTTGTCACCCGCGGTCTGTCCAGGCCTGTTGGCATGGAGTGACCCGACCCCCTCCCAAACAGCCTGTGCACAGACCCTCGCGGTGCCCAGAAGCAGTGTCTCCTCAGTGTCCGAAGGAAACCTCTCCCGGGCCTGTTTCCTCGCCATTTCTGGTGAGTAGCCCTTGCTTGCTGGTTCCCTCTGCCCGGTGGCCGCATGGATTTGGGTCAGTGGTGACTCCAAGGATGTGTGACAGTGGCCGTTGGCCTCAGACACCAAAGAAGGGCCCTCTCCCTCTCTGAGGCCGGAGCTCTCCCGCCGCCACCTGTGGCCACGGCGCCTTCCTGTGAGCGTCCGCCCCGCGGTGCCCTCCGACCTCCGCTGCCGGACGCCCAGCGTCTCCTCTGACACTGTCTGGCTGGGTCTCCCAAGGGCCACGGACACTGCACTTCAGGGTCATGGTCTCTTGAGCTCAGGCTTCATTTTGAAAGGAGCGTTTCTCCTAAATAAAGTTAAAAGGAGAAAATGTTTCATTTTCTACTCGGGGTTTAATGTTTCTTCCTTTTGAAAATATTTGGGTTTCCTTAAAGGTTGTGTTTCTTTCTGGGATAGACTTTCCTAGCACAAGTGGTGCATTTTGTCAGGACGGACTAAAGAGAATAGCCGAGGCGAATGGAAGGGTTGAAGGTCACTCGAGAAGTTTGTGTTTACTTCACTCATTCAGAGGAGCGGGGATTAGAGCTGTTCCAGGTCACGTGCTCCTCCATGCGCAAGTGTCAGGAACAACTCAGGACAGACATGAAATAGTCATTCAGTCACAGTCTTAAAGTTAATTAATTACTATTACATTTACTAATTTAATTTAAGGATGTTAAATAAAATTCCTAAGTTTAAGGAATAAGAAGTTTATGAAATTTGTGTGGCAGGTTTGTTCAGTTCATCCCCTGCTTTTCTTACTGCTTCAGCCAGTGCTCAGCTTGTGCTGGTTTGTCTTCTTCAGGCCACAGCGTTGAGGGGGCGATAGAGCTACAGAGTGTTGAGAGGGATGATGGAGCCGCCAAGCACTGAGAGGGATGATAGAGCCGTTGAGTGTCAAGAGGGGCAATGGAGCCACTGAGCACTGAGGGGGATGGTGGAGCCACCAAGCATTGACAAGGATGATAGAGCCGTTGCGTGTTGAGAGGGGCGATGGAGTCACTGAGCACTGAGGGGGATGGTGGAGCCACCAAACATTGAGAAGGATGATGGAGCCATTGAGTGTTGAGAGGGGCAATGGAGACACTGAGCACTGAGGGTGATAGTGGAGCCACCAAGCATTGCCAAGGATGATAGAGTGGTTGAGTGTTGAGAGGAGCGATGGAGTCACTGAGCACTGAGGGGGATGGTGGAGCCACCAAGCATTGAGAAGGATGATAGAGCCGTTGAGTGTTGAGAGGGGCAATGGAGACACTGAGCACCGAGAGGGATGATGGAGCCGCTGAGCGCTGAGGGAGCGATGGAGCCACCAAGTGCTGAGGGGGCGATGGAGCCACTGAGCGCTGAGAGGGATGATGGAGCCACTGAGCACCGAGAGCGATGATGGAGCCACTGAGTGCTGAGAGGGTTGAAGACCAAGTGACATCCTCCTGGAAGCTTTTGTGCAGGACACTATCCACAGTGTCTTCTGCCTGTCCTGGAAGGTGTGGACTGGGCCATGTGACAGCACTGAGGGCCACCTGGTTAGGGATGCACGAACTCCATAAACTGCCCTGGCCAGGGAGCCACATGAACCTCTGGAAGCTTCTATGCAGACTAGTCCTGTGTTTCAAGCTGGAAGCCCAAACCAACCAGCATCCTGCGTGTTTGACTCAGTGGCTTTGTCACCTGGCACAGCCTGCAGCTCCTCTGTGTTTCGGGGCCAGTGCCCAGCTCCGTGATGGAACCAGCCCCAGGAGGAGACCTCCCTCATCGTCCCCCAGTGCAGAGAGAGAGTTTCTTTGCCACCAGCAGGTTCCTGTGTTGGGGTGGAGACCCAGCGGTGAGCTCGGAGTGACTGGTCCGTCTCCTCTCTCCCGTGCTCAACTGCTCTGTTCCCTCAACGTCCTAACCACAGTTTCTGGTCCTAAACGGACCAGATGGAGCCATGTCCAAAGTTTTGTCTTAACATTTAGAAAAGTACAACATTTGAACATACTTATTAACAAACAAACTCACAACGTGGAATAAAAGCGTGATCATTCTCCCCTGACTGCCCTTTGTCCCCAGGCCACACTCACCCCCTGGGCCCTAGAGATGCATGGGTAGTGCACCCCAAGCCCGCCGTTAGACCACAGGTTTGGCTTTCAGAACCTGCTGCCGCCTCCCAGAAGTTCTGGGGATGCTGTCCCACCAGCCCTCAGAAAGACACTGCTCTGTGCCATCTGTTCATTCCGCAGGCTGGCTCACAGCTCCCGGCGGGGGAGCAGGATGTGGGGGCACATCAGAATAGAAAAAAGGATGGTTGACCCTGAAGAGCAGAACCTTAGCTTTCCACAGTCAGCTGGTCTCCCAGAAGACAGCCAGGAGTGACTCAGAGTATTCAGGGCAGTTTTTTATCAATGGGGCGGGCCAAGGGCCACCCACAGCCTTTTTTTTTTTTTTTTTTTTTATCCTCACCCGAGGACACTTTTCCATTTTTTGTACAGATAGAGTGGGAGGGAGAGAGAGGAAGGGAGAGAGAGAGAGAAACATCGACGTGAAGGGACACATCGAGTGGCTGCCACCCGCACGACCAACCAGGGCCGGGGACAAACTGCCACCGAGGTACATGCCCTTAGCGGGAACCGAACCCGGGTCTCTCCGGACCGCAGGCCGACGCTCTAACCGCTGAGCCAAACTGGCCAGGGCCCACCCACAGTCTTTAATAACCCTTGTACACACCTGATTATCCAACTCGGACTGGTAAATATTTATTTGACTTTTCCTGATTTGAAATATTGGGGAATACGTGCAGTGAAGAATAGAAGTTTATATTTATTTTAAAAAAGGAACGAGTTTCCTAACAAATAAAATTAATTTTATGAGTATCTTTTGTTATGGGGCGATTTAGGTAAAAATAAAACCAATTACTAGGAAAAAAGTATGACCATTATGTCCAAAATCCGATGGTGCTAATAATAAATGATGGGTTTAACTCTCAGATTTCTACTGCTCAACACTTTGCTATTCTAATTTGCATTATTACTCTAGACTGAGATGGCATTACACTTCTTTAAAGAAATTCATTACGTTATCATTAGTTAACTGAAGCCTAATTGATGAGCATTACTGACGTCTTGCTGGACCGATTAAAACCAGGACGCAGGTACAATTTGTCCCTTTGACTTGGAAGCGAAGCCTGCTACTTTCTTGCTGTATATTTTAAATGGATTTGAGTCCTGGAATTGTGACAAATATGCTCTTTTGCTTATTTTTTCTCTTTCTCTAGCAACAGTTAGATATTCCCATCCCCAAGTATTTTTTGAAGGAGAAGTTGGAAGTCATAAAAGGAAGAGAGAAAATCCTCGCTCAGATACTAGCCAACGCTGAATTGAGAGGACCCAGAGAGGTTCGTATGTCACTTCAACACACCTCACTCCGCGATCTAGAAACGTCCGCCTCTCCTGCTCCTGACTGAGAAGCGGTCCGATCCTCTCAGTGTGAGGGGAGCAGACCCTTCTCCGCCTCTCACTCAGGACAGAAGTTGTCGGTGACCCGTAGCCAAGAACCTAGAAATCCAGACCAAGTCATAACACGTTGTTGGTCAAATCGGCATCTCTAAGGTTGTGTAGATCATCAGCTCAGCTTACTTTTTCATCTCAAATTCGCCTAAGTCAGGAGCCGGATGGTGTTTCTAGAAAATACTTGAGGGCTGAGATGACTTTCTCAGAATTCAGAAATGACTACACTTTCTGCAAGTGCTGATTGGCCTCGTATCCCCTCACACTGAGTGACGCGTGGACCACCTCAGGTGGACGTCTGTGGGAAGCAGAACCCCGGAGGTGCCCCGGCGAGCAGAGCTGAGCCCCGCACACGGCTGTTCGGAGTCTCAGTTGGCCCCGCTGCCTCCCGGCCTCCCCCGGGCTCTCACAGTGACCTCAGCCTGCCGTGGGCAGTCCTCCCCCCGTGGCACTGCCACTAGCCCTGCAGGTCAGCTCTGCACTCCCGTGACCTTCACCGCCGGCAAAGCCAGGCCTCTGACCGTCCAAACCGGGCCGATCGGAGCGACCAGACACTCCCAGTGCAGGCCGGGCGCACAGGGTCCCGGGTGCCGTCTCCCTACACATGAGCCCCGTTGGGTACTGTCAGCCTGACTCCAGGTGCATGCAGAGTGGCGGTGGGGCGGGAGCCCGTGCCCTGGGTTCGAAGCTCTGTCTCTCGCTTGCGCCCTGGGCAGAGAGGGCTCCCTCTTCTCCCTCCGTCCCTCCGCCTCTCCTACCCCCCCCCGCCCGGGTCAAAATGATACTCATCGCCGCAGGAATCCTTTCCTGACCCCTAACTAGAGACTCTCCTTCCCACACCTGTCCCCTAAGTGACTTCCAATTGTACATACTTGGAAGTAGATGCCAAGGTTGGCTTCCCTGGGGTCTGGCCTTCAGCAGAAGGCTTCATTTAGCCACATCCCCCCACCCCCCAAATCCCTGGCACAAAGCTTTGGCAAGGGTGCACAATTCTCCGAAGTGGGCACAGGGGAGCGGAGAAGAGAGACGACATTTCGCACACTATAGTAACACCGTGAAAGCTCCCCTTTGCTGTTTCTACTCCCCTCGGCCCCCCAGTTCCTCTTCCTTCGGCCGGTCAGCGGCAGCAGCGAGGTTTCCCTCTCTCAGCACCCAGCCCCGGGCTCTGCTCCGCTGCCACGGGTCCATGCTCAGCAAGACTCAGGGCCTCGGGCGACTTCTCCACGCCCTTCGGTGTCTCGCTGGACCCCCCTCTCATCTTAGGCTGCTTGGTTCTTGAAAATATGTGCAGTATGAACCCCAAGAAGAATTCTGATAGGTGGAAATTATCATCCACCCTGCATTTGTCACTTTACCCGTTCCTTGGGGGCCTCCAGCTGTGTTCGGAACTCTGTGGTGTGGACTCCCACGGCCTCGGGTAGCCAGCGAGGGCTGTCATTAGCTTCGGGATGACAGGGCGGAACCTAAGGAGACAGATCAGTCCCAGCTAAGGTTCGCGGGCACCTGCGGCCTGCGTACGTGCCTTTGCACACCTGACACCCGCACGCCATTCATCCCGCGCTCACGAGATGCGTGCAGGACAGCACAGCAGACGAGGAGGATGGGAGCGCACGGGACAGAAATCTGAGGAACGTTCTGTGAGATCGCTTCCCGGAAGGAACCCCTGGGGCCACACTGAGGAGCAGGACTGCTCTGGGGCAGAAGGGTCCTCCCTTCAAACTGGCTCCATCCCCTGCCAACCAAGGAATGAGTACAAATTACTGTACTTCTTAGAGCCTCGGTCTTCTTAACCCTTACGTGGCCACGATAACACCTGCCTTGGAGGGGCTTTAGGAATCTGATGAGGATGCACATGAAAAGTGGCATCTGTAGGTTCTCAGTAAATGTCCCTTACTCTCCTTCCTGTGCACAGGCACGCACACGCACACTCATGCACACACACACACACATTCTGTTCCTTACACACAGACGTGATCATCCTGGGGAGCAGTGGCTGGGTGATGAACTGGAGCACCCACGCTTGGGACCTCAGTGTCTTACACTGTATCCCAGCATGGTGGCCATTGCTGCCCTGAGGCCTGGACAAGGGCTCAGCCCGTGCTTCGGTGTTTTTCTGATTCCAGTGGCCTCTCCCTTCTGCCTAAGCCAGGCCACATGCCCAGCTCCACCTCTGCTTTGGGGACAACCAAGGGTCAAGGACCTGAGCCCACCCTGAACTCATGAGGCCTCTGGGTGCCCCCAGCAGCCTTACTCTTACGCCCCTCTCCTCCAAAACAGCACAGCCTGTTGCCTGACTTTGCCTCAAAAGACAGCATTATACTGCACGAACCCAATGTTACTAAGTCTCCATAGCACCCATTACATCTGAATGTTTCAAAAGGAAAACTTGTAGAAACTGGAGGACATTTCATATCTTAACACTCCTCCAGTGATTTTACCATTAGTCATAGTCACCAGATTATTCTGCAATGGATTCTGAAGTGGGCATTTTACTTCAGGTCTATTATATGCCTTAAGTTCTCATACCAGAGACATGTTTTTGCTTAGTGTTGATACTGTTAAGTTAGTGAACATTGATAGCCATTTAAACTTCCCTCGAATCCATTTGGTTGAAATTCCTGGTATAATTTGCCACCAACCTGAAATGTGGAGCTGATTAGTATTTTGTTTGGAAAGGCGGAGGACAGCTCGAGGGGTCCTTAAATGTGGGACCACAGCACGTTCCCCAAGCACACAGAAGTCAGGGCCGATGAGCAGCGCCGAGCCATGTCACGCGCTCTGTTCGTCCGGCGGCTCTGGAAGGTTGGGCTGGAAGTGTGTCATGTCTCTGGCATCCATGATGTGGCCAACATGTGTACCATTGATTGATTGCAAATGTCTTTTTGCAGAAATCCTCTGTAAAGAGTCTTCCCCTGGAGCAGGCTGTGAAGACGATCCAGGTCGCGGAGAGAGCGCGGCAGGGTCGCCTGAGGGCGATGCTCATGAAGCAGATCTTCCTCCAGGAGTTCAGAACGCGGCAAGCCAGGCTCCTCGGCGAGAAGGTGGCAGACACGGGGGTAGCAGCGCTGCGAATCCAGAAGGTGCGCGGGGGGCTCCTGGGCCTGGGGCTGGGCATCTGACACGCCCAGGGACGTGTATCAGGGCACGGTCAGCTCCAAAACTCAGACCTCCAAAATCCAGCCTTTGGAGGAACTGGATTAAATACCAGAAAGGTTGATTTTTCCTACCCTGGGGAAACTATGAACTAAGCTTGGTCATGTTTTTTTACATTTTCATTATAAATCAATATAAAGTGCAGGGCATTTTCTGCAAATGGTGTTGAAATCATTGATCATTGTTGGAAAGAATGTTGCCAAAAACTCAGTGAGGATATAAATCCTTCATGAATTTTTAAAGATCCATTTACACGTGGACATGTAGTGACAGGAGGGGCACACCTGCTGGCTGGCCGTTCACACAAAGTCCCAGCGACCGTCGCCAAGACCAGAACCCCAATGCCCCTTGTACAGGCGAGCCTTGAGTTTTCTCCCCCCGTCAGATGTGTACCCTGTCTTTCTTCAAACAAAGGCTCCGTTGCTTACGAGAAGATGCAGAACATGGCAGGTGACAGCTAGAGAGAACGTACAAGGACAGGAAATGCAGCAGGGAGGTCAGGACCCTTGTCCCTTACTGTGTCTGAATGGCAGCCAGGGGCCCAGGGCAAGGGTCAGAGAAGAGGCTGTTTTCTGTCCAGTTCCTGTGCAGGTAGGAAGTTTTAAACAAGCACTGGAGTTCACAGCTGAGTTGTGCAATCCGGTGTTACCATGTTCTATTGCCCACATGGCCACAGAAATTTTTCTTTTAAAACTGTGAATTGACACCCTTAGCTCTAGCCCCACACTCCTGCAGTCTAGAAGTTTCTCTCGAAGAAACCCAGGTAGGAGAGTCTCAGTAGTGAGAATTATAGGCCCTTTCTTTCCCCCAACTCTACTGAGACTTATTCGATATATAATATCGTGTAAGTTTTAAGATATATGTCATAATTTGATACACAAATGTATTGTAAAACAATAACCACTGCAAGACTACTCCACACATCGATGACCTCACATAATTACCGTTTTCCTTAGCACGTGAGAATGTTTAAGCTCAACTCTCGGTAACTTTTTAAAAATTTGTTTTCTTTATTGATTTTAGAGAGAGAGGAAGTGAGAGGGAGAGAGAGACAGAAACATCGATGAGAGAGAACATCGATTGGCCACCTCCTGCACGCCTCCCACTGGGGATCAAGCCCACAACCTGGGCATGAGCCCTGACCAGGAATTGAACCGGTGACCTTCTGGTGCATGGGTCGATTGATGTTCAACCACTGAGCTACACCGGCGGGGCAACTCTCAGCAATTTTTAAGGCTGCATCACAGTGTTGTTAACTCTGGTCACCACACTATACTATACGTTAGATCCCAGAACTTACTACTCATCTTACACCTGGAAGTTAGATCCCTTTGCCCACCTTCACCTATAGCCCCACCCCAGCCCCTGGCAGCTACGGATCTGTTTCTATAGGTGAGGTCCCATACCATTGGTCTTTGTCTGACTTACTTCACTGAGCATAGTGCCCTGGTCCATCCATGCTGTTGCAAATGGCAGGATTTTCTTCTTTTTATGGCCGAGTATACTTCATTGTACATATATACCCCATTTTCTTCTCCCATTCATCCATCCACAGACACACAGGACCGTCCATGTCTTTGCTCCTGTGAATAACGCCGCAGTGAGCAGGGGGTGCAGCCGTCTCTCCGAGACTCTGACTTTATTCCTTTTGGATGCACACTCAGAAGTGGTGTTGCTGGATTGTGTGGCAGTTCTGCTTCTAAATTATTTTTTTTAGTAGCCTCCATGTTTTTGTCCACAGTGGCTGCACCGGTTTTCATGCCCACCAACAGGGACCAGGGACCCCTTTCCCCACGTCCTCACCAGCATTGGTTTCCTCTGAGCTCTTTGATAGCAGCCACTGTAACAGGTGCGAGGCTGTGGCTGGGGCTCGAGGCGAGCAGGGGTCTTCCAGGGTCGTGGCTGAGTGTGAGCCAGTCGGGTCCAGGGCACCCTGTTCAGGGGGCGGCACTGGCGTGAGGGCCGCGTCGGGGTCCACAGCTGTGCCCCCACACAGCCAGAGCCATCGCAGGGATCCCTCCTCCTCCCGCGGCCACAGCAGGAACGTTACTCCGTCGGCACGTGGCACAGGCAGTGCGCTCGCTGCGCAGCTCACACGGCGGCCACGCGGCCACGCGCTCTTCTGCTTGTTCGCGCCCAGACAGCGGACCCTTCCTTCGTTTCAGGTTTGGCGAGGATTCCGTCAGAGTAAGAAAACCGAGAGGGAGCGAGAGGAGGAGATGGTGTTCCTGGGCATGGTGAGTCCTTGCGCGCGCCGGTCCCCGGGAGCAGCCGCCCTGGGGCTCTCCCGTCCGGTTTCGGAGGGAAGGGAGGGAAGGTGACCGACCAGTGCCTCTGCAGAAGCCTGCCTGGGGGTGGGGAGGGCAGCCGTGTCCCCCACACGGCTCTGTTGGAATCCGCGGACACCCCCGAATGTGGGAACAGGCCCTGAGCTGCTCACCGTGTGCTATTCCCGTCGATGTCAGCAGCACACTTGACGTTATTAGTACCTGTGGTCCGAGGGTGGGTGGGCTCCGACGTCCCGCCTGCGGGGTCATGACTGAATCAGAGTTGAAGGGCACGCGTGGTAGTCCCTGCGCTGTCGCAGACTGAGCGGCTCACACACGTGCTAGCTCGTTGCCTCGGTCAGGAGCCCGTGCCCAGCGGGGTCCTCTGCCCAGCGTTTCACAGGCTGCAGTCAGGGTGTCGGCCGGGCTGGGGTCTCCTCCGAGCTCGGCAGGGCGAGGATCGGCGCCTGGCGTGCGGCTGTTGGCAGGATCCAGCTCCCGTGGGCTGTGGGATGGAGGCTCAGTGTTTGGCCCACTGTTCACTGGAGACTGCCCAGCCCAGTGCCCTGGAGGCCTCTCCACGGGGCAGCTCGTCCACCAAAGCCAGCGGGGAGACGCGCTGCCGTCTCCCGCAGAAGTCACCAGTGGGGTGCCTCACCTGTGCCAGCTCAGCTGGTTAGACGCAGGTCACTGGGTCACTCACTCAGGCAGAGGCGAGGGTAGGAGGGTGTGGGCACCAGGAGGTGGGGACAATTGGGGACCATCTTAGAGTCTCTGGAGTTTTCTCCATGGTGGGCATCCCCCGCGGAAGGCCTTTAAGGAGGGTCACCTGCCAGGGGCGCTCCTGAGGGGAGACCTGTGCTCCCCAGGGCAGCCCGCTGGGTTCACCCGGGAGCTTCTTCCTTCCAGCCGGGAGCTTCTCCCTTCCAGCCGGGAGCTTCTCCCTTCCAGCCGGGAGCTTCTCCCTTACACTCCGGGAGCTTCTCCCTTACACTCCGGGAGCTTCTCCCTTCCAGCCGGAAGCTTCTCCCTTCCACTCCGGGAGCTTCTCCCTTCCACTCCGGGAGCTTCTCCCTTCCACTCCGGGAGCTTCTCCCTTCCACTCCGGGAGCTTCTCCCTTCCAGCCGGGAGCTTCTCCCTTACACTCCGGGAGCTTCTCCCTTCCAGCCGGGAGCTTCTCCCTTCCATGCCGGGAGCTTCTCCCTTCCAGCCGGGAGCTTCTCCCTTCCACTCTGGGAGCTTCTCCCTTCCAGCCGGGAGCTTCTCCCTTCCAGCCGGGAGCTTCTCCCTTCCACTCCGGGAGCTTCTCCCTTCCACTCCGGGAGCTTCTTCCTTCCAGCCGGGAGCTTCTCCCTTCCACTCCGGGAGCTTCTCCCTTCCACTCCGGGAGCTTCTCCCTTCCAGCCGGGAGCTTCTCCCTTCCACTCCGGGAGCTTCTCCCTTCCAGCCGGGAGCTTCTCCTTTCCAGCCGGGAGCTTCTCCCTTCCACTCCGGGAGCTTCTCCCTTCCAGCCGGGAGCTTCTCCCTTCCACTCCGGGAGCTTCTCCCTTCCACTCCGGGAGCTTCTTCCTTCCAGCCGGGAGCTTCTCCCTTCCAGCCGGGAGCTTCTCCCTTCCACTCCGGGAGCTTCTCCCTTCCAGCCGGGAGCTTCTCCCTTCCACTCCGGGAGCTTCTCCCTTCCACTCCGGGAGCTTCTCCCTTCCAGCCGGGAGCTTCTCCCTTCCAGCCGGGAGCTTCTCCCTTCCACTCCGGGAGCTTCTCCCTTCCAGCCGGGAGCTTCTCCCTTCCACTCCGGGAGCTTCTCCCTTCCACTCCGGGAGCTTCTTCCTTCCAGCCGGGAGCTTCTCCCTTCCACTCTGGGAGCTTCTCCCTTCCACTCCGGGAGCTTCTTCCTTCCAGCCGGGAGCTTCTCCCTTCCACTCTGGGAGCTTCTCCCTTCCAGCCGGGAGCTTCTCCCTTCCACTCTGGGAGCTTCTCCCTTCCAGCCGGGAGCTTCTCCCTTCCACTCCGGGAGCTTCTTCCTTCCAGCCGGGAGCTTCTCCCTTCCACTCTGGGAGCTTCTCCCTTCCAGCCGGGAGCTTCTCCCTTCCACTCCGGGAGCTTCTTCCTTCCAGCCGGGAGCTTCTCCCTTCCAGCCGGGAGCTTCTCCCTTCCACTCTGGGAGCTTCTCCCTTCCACTCTGGGAGCTTCTCCCTTCCAGCCGGGAGCTTCTCCCTTCCACTCTGGGAGCTTCTCCCTTCCACTCCGGGAGCTTCTCCCTTCCAGCCGGGAGCTTCTCCCTTCCACTCTGGGAGCTTCTCCCTTCCAGCCGGGAGCTTCTCCCTTCCAGCCGGGAGCTTCTCCCTTCCACTCCGGGAGCTTCTCCCTTCCAGCCGGGAGCTTCTCCCTTCCACTCTGGGAGCTTCTCCCTTCCACTCCGGGAGCTTCTCCCTTCCACTCTGGAGCTTCTCCCTTCCACTCCGGGAGCTTCTCCCTTCCAGCCGGGAGCTTCTCCCTTCCACTCCGGGAGCTTCTTCCTTCCAGCCGGGAGCTTCTCCCTTCCACTCCGGGAGCTTCTCCCTTCCAGCCGGGAGCTTCTCCCTTCCACTCCGGGAGCTTCTTCCTTCCAGCCAGGAGCTTCTCCCTTCCACTCCGGGAGCTTCTCCCTTCCACTCCGGGAGCTTCTCCCTTCCACTCCGGGAGCTTCTCCCTTCCAGCCGGGAGCTTCTCCCTTCCACTCCGGGAGCTTCTCCCTTCCAGCCGGGAGCTTCTCCCTTCCAGCCGGGAGCTTCTCCCTTCCACTCCGGGAGCTTCTCCCTTCCAGCCGGGAGCTTCTCCCTTCCACTCCGGGAGCTTCTCCCTTCCAGCCGGGAGCTTCTCCCTTCCAGCCGGGAGCTTCTCCCTTCCAGCCGGGAGCTTCTCCCTTCCACTCCGGGAGCTTCTCCCTTCCAGCCGGGAGCTTCTCCCTTCCACTCCGGGAGCTTCTTCCTTCCAGCCGGGAGCTTCTCCCCTTCCAGCCGGGAGCTTCTCCCTTTCCACTCCGGGAGCTTCTCCTTCCACTCTGGGAGCTTCTCCCTTCCATCCGGGAGCTTCTCCCTTACACTCCAGGAGCTTCTCCCTTCCATGCCGGGAGCTTCTCCCTTCCAGCCGGGAGCTTCTCCCTTACACTCCGGGAGCTTCTCCCTTCCAGCCGGGAGCTTCTCCCTTCCACTGCGCTACGGTCCGCCTCCCTCACTGCCCCACCTGGCTGTGGCTCGGCCCCTGGAAGCTCAGAGCATGTCCGGTCCCCTTTCTCAGGACACCTTCAGGTATTTGAAGGTAGCTCTTGAGTCTTCACCAACTCTGTCCAATGCTAACCACCCTCAGAGGGGCAACCATGTGGGGCGGGGGAGGGGGCCGGTGGGGGACCTGCTGGGTTTTCGTTAGAGGAGGCTGCCATTGGGAAGGAGAAGGAGAGGCCTTGGGAGCTGCCCCAGCTGAGTGCAGGTGTGTTGGGTGCGCCGCGGTGCCCGTGCCCGTATGTAGCGGCCAGGAAGAACAGGGCACGGGCTTTAATAAACGGGGCCTTGGATCACCCTTCTCTGGCGAGGCCAGTCAGGGCGAGGAAGGAAAACAGACCCGCCGCAGAGCACTGCCGGTGTGACCGGTTTAATGCTGCCGGTAATACTGTGAATAGCTCTGCTGACACAGTGGGAATGCCAAGCAGAGGTTATCTCGGGCGGCACAAACACGGACACTGACCAGAGGTAAATGCCGAGATGAACCGCCCCCCGCGAGGAATGCGGAGGAGATTCCAAGTCCCTCCGCTCGTGCGGGTGCTGCGCGAGGCGATGCCTAGAAGTGGAACGTCAAGACCATTTACCCTTCTTTCCCCGCATGGATGTGGTTTCCTTACGCTATTCTTTCCTCCTTGTGGTGGGTGACGTTTTCTGACAGCGTGTGCCCACCCCTCGGCTAGGACAGGAGCCGGGCGGGAGGCGCTCCAGGCCCCCTGTGCTGGGGTCCGCCTAACGTGACCGTCTCAGCCACACTTCATCAGATCTTCGGTATAAAAATGTCCCCTCTTCTCCCTGAGATTTCAGGATTCAAACTAAATTAAAAGGTGTTATCAGTGATTGTATTAATATTAAGAAAAATGCAGTTTAGTCGCCCACTTCGGGTGTTGCTCTTGAATTGCTGTCGATTTTACGATGGCACGTTCCGAGTGACAGGACAGGTAAATGCATTTGTTTTAGAATAGCTGACATTTCCTCCAGCCCCTGAGCCGACCGCCCCACCCGCCCTGAGCCCTCTGTCGTCAGCACAGAATGAAAAATGTGAATTCTCCTTGGGAACAGAGTTCGACTCTGTGTTCCAGACACTTAGGAGAGTGCCGTTTCTTGGCAGAGGGGCAGGATGTCACCGCATGTGTGTGGATAAAGTCTCAGTTGTGACACCCAGGCTTCAGTGTCTTAAAAAATGGTAATTCATACCAGAGTGGCACATATGATTCAAGATATACCTCGATTTTATCACCTCCATCCTTGATTCCGCTTTGATCTTTGAGTTTCAAATATAGGTCAACATATATTTTTGGAATTGAAAACCCCTTGGGAGGCTGACCCATCTTTTATTTTCTTTTTCTTTAAAAGAATTTTTTTCTTTATTGATTTCAGAGAGAGAGGAAGGGAGAGGGAGAGAGAAAACATCAACTGGCCGCCTCCTGCACGCCGCCCACTGGGGATCAGGCCCACAACCTGGGCATGTGCCCTGACCGGGAATGGACCTGGCGACCTCTTGGTGCAGGGTCGATGCTCAACCACTGAGCCACACCAGCCGGGCCCATCTTTTACTTTCTACCTGAGGTATGCTGGGACCAAATGGGTGAGTAATCTGCCAGATGTCACAGATTTTTATGATTTAAATTTATCATAAAATGTTTATGATTGTGGAATATTATTTAGCCACAAAAAAGGAAAGAAGTCCTGAGCCATGCTACAGCCTGGATGAA